ATTTTTGCTTCTTAGCAGAAGTATTTATTTCATTTCGATGTCGTTGTGAGTGCAATTAATTCCTTCCGTTGCAACCTAACGAATTCCAAGTAAACCCGTTTCTAATACTTCAAAGGCTAGTGGTAAATATATGTACCACTTCCTTTAACATTCAGTAAATATGTGTCTCGCATGATTCTCAAAACAAACAGCGATTATTTCCTTAAACAGCGTTAACCAGTTGATGGTGAAGTGTCTTGTTTTCTTTGCGGTACGGACTGAATTCTTAAATACTGTGTTTAGACGATCTTCGGCTTCAAAGGGGTAGATAAATGCACAGTAACTAACTAGATGGCTTAGGGAACCAAAAGGTTCATCACCGAATTAACCAAAGCCCTCCACCGGACCCTGTCCTGGGCCAACAAAATCCAGTCTCCTTCAACTCCTATCTCCCATAGATCCCGCCTGAGATTGTCCTCCCATCTACGTCTAGGTCTCCCCAGGGGTCTCTTCCCCTCAGGCTTCCCAACCAATACCCGGTGCACACCTTGTCCCATCCATGCACGCTACATGCCCAGCCCATCTAATTCTTCTCAACTTAATCACCCTGACAATACTGGGGGAGGAGAACAGATTTTCAAGCTCGTCATTATGCAGTTTTCTCCACGCCTCATCGTCTTCTCTCTTAGGCCCAAATATCCTCCTCAACACCCGATTCTCAAACACCTGCAATCTGTGTTCCTCCCTCTGAGTGAGAGACCATCTTTCACACCCATACAAAACAACAGGTAAAATTATTGTTTTGTATATTTTAATTTTCAGGTTTTTAGAAATCAGACGGGAAGACAAAATATTTTGAACTGAGAAGTAGAAAGCATTTCCAGAATTTAATCTCCTCCTAACTTCCTCATGAGTGTCATTTTGATGTTAAACGCACACTACATTTCTAAAAAACTCTCAAGACCGATAATCATCAAATATCTTTAGAATCATGAGACGCTTTCGTGTTTCTACGCAACGCGCACGAATTTTTCCCGTGTATTTCCTTTTCGAAGCTGTAAGTTGTGGTACGTCCCACAATTGTCTATTGTACCCGCGACGCAAATTGTCTACAAATGTGGATCCTTCCAAAAGGGGAGACTCGGTTAACACTGCAGATACGTTCACAGTTTAGTGTTGCAATAAGAGAGCCTGTGACTGGCCTCAGATTTGTGTAGGACGTCCCCACACACACATATGACTGAATTCTTAATGGAAACAAATTAATTCTTTGTAACTGACGAACGTCGGCCAATTGTGGGAGTCGCCAACACAGAGGTGAGTGTTTAAAGCGTCTAGCCAAGCAGGGCGCCAACATTTCTCTCAAACAGATTTTGTTCCATTTTGGTAGGGCTGATGTCGTGTTGATGGCGAAGTATCAGGGGTGTGTCACTGGGACAATGATGAATCAGAAAAAAAGTTAACAGTAGGCGTGTGTGATTCATCTACTGTCAGGAAGTCTGATAATACACGGCTTAATTACCTCTTGGCATTAAAATATAGCACCTTATGTGTGACTCCACTGAACAGAGTCCTTTTTGTTAAGCTGATAGTCGTTCAATATTTAAACAAAATCTACAGCTTTTATGGAACCCGATGGCTCATTATCGAATAAACAAGGATCCGCCACTGGTCCCTCATTCAGTAAATATGTGTCTCGCATGATTCTCAAAACAAACAGCGATTATTTCCTTAAACAGCGTTAACCAGTTGATGGTGAAGTGTCTTGTTTTCTTTGCGGTACGGACTGAATTCTTAAATACTGTGTTTAGACGATCTTCGGCTTCAAAGGGGTAGATAAATGCACAGTAACTAACTAGATGGCTTAGGGAACCAAAAGGTTCATCACCGAATTAACCAAAGCCCTCCACCGGACCCTGTCCTGGGCCAACAAAATCCAGTCTCCTTCAACTCCTATCTCCCATAGATCCCGCCTGAGATTGTCCTCCCATCTACGTCTAGGTCTCCCCAGGGGTCTCTTCCCCTCAGGCTTCCCAACCAATACCCGGTGCACACCTTGTCCCATCCATGCACGCTACATGCCCAGCCCATCTAATTCTTCTCAACTTAATCACCCTGACAATACTGGGGGAGGAGAACAGATTTTCAAGCTCGTCATTATGCAGTTTTCTCCACGCCTCATCGTCTTCTCTCTTAGGCCCAAATATCCTCCTCAACACCCGATTCTCAAACACCTGCAATCTGTGTTCCTCCCTCTGAGTGAGAGACCATCTTTCACACCCATACAAAACAACAGGTAAAATTATTGTTTTGTATATTTTAATTTTCAGGTTTTTAGAAATCAGACGGGAAGACAAAATATTTTGAACTGAGAAGTAGAAAGCATTTCCAGAATTTAATCTCCTCCTAACTTCCTCATGAGTGTCATTTTGATGTTAAACGCACACTACATTTCTAAAAAACTCTCAAGACCGATAATCATCAAATATCTTTAGAATCATGAGACGCTTTCGTGTTTCTACGCAACGCGCACGAATTTTTCCCGTGTATTTCCTTTTCGAAGCTGTAAGTTGTGGTACGTCCCACAATTGTCTATTGTACCCGCGACGCAAATTGTCTACAAATGTGGATCCTTCCAAAAGGGGAGACTCGGTTAACACTGCAGATACGTTCACAGTTTAGTGTTGCAATAAGAGAGCCTGTGACTGGCCTCAGATTTGTGTAGGACGTCCCCACACACACATATGACTGAATTCTTAATGGAAACAAATTAATTCTTTGTAACTGACGAACGTCGGCCAATTGTGGGAGTCGCCAACACAGAGGTGAGTGTTTAAAGCGTCTAGCCAAGCAGGGCGCCAACATTTCTCTCAAACAGATTTTGTTCCATTTTGGTAGGGCTGATGTCGTGTTGATGGCGAAGTATCAGGGGTGTGTCACTGGGACAATGATGAATCAGAAAAAAAGTTAACAGTAGGCGTGTGTGATTCATCTACTGTCAGGAAGTCTGATAATACACGGCTTAATTACCTCTTGGCATTAAAATATAGCACCTTATGTGTGACTCCACTGAACAGAGTCCTTTTTGTTAAGCTGATAGTCGTTCAATATTTAAACAAAATCTACAGCTTTTATGGAACCCGATGGCTCATTATCGAATAAACAAGGATCCGCCACTGGTCCCTGAGCCAAATGAATCCACTCCCCCCCCCCTTAATATAAATGTGGTTGTTGCTTCCCGACCATAATTTTGTATGCATTTCTCAGGTCCCCCCCTGTGCGCGCCAGTATCCCACAGATGTGTACTGCAAACCCGAATCTACAAAACTTCATGGCAAATGCAAATTATCTTCTTTGTATTACAAATCTAAAACTTCTTGACGATGGTGAAGAGTCAATTGAATAAAAATTTCCTTGGATATTATCCATCGTCTAGTAAAATATTAAATATAAAACGTAAAACGACGTTTCGGAGATGGGACTTTATCTCCGTCTTCAGGTTGCTACACAGTTGAGCCCACTAGATAGAGCTAATCCCTATCTCCGGACGGATTAGCTCTATCTAGTGGGCCCAACTGAGTAGGAACCTGAAGACGGAGATAGAGTCCCATCTCCGAAACGTCGTTTTACGTTTTATATTTACTAGACGATGGATAATATCCAAGAAAATTTTTATTCAATTGACTCTTTGTATTCCGTTTGACATCAACAGGGCTAATTTTTTAAAATTAAAATGTGCATTTCTCCTCCGCAGATTTCCGCGACTGTGTTACAATGTAACACTTCGCTTTTCGCGGATAAGCCGCGTCGAATTTTAAATTTTTTCCCCCAATGTTTCGACAAGCATTTTAGTTGGCATCTTCAGGACGAATAAAACATTCGTCGCGGCTCGTTCCCGAAAGCCTTACATTAAAGTGTGCTGCGTCCAGGTGGAACTGTCATCTGCTGTTCTTGTGTCAATGTGCCAGTTTACAGATGCACGGTAAAGTTAGATTTTTAAGCCATGTAATGCAGAAGTTATGTTTTAGCGACACAAACCAAATTTAAATTAACACGATAACTTACAGTGAAGCAACCAATACTAAATTTTATTCAGATCAGTGAACGTACCTTTGAAGATGGATTCTAATGGCTGAGAGACCGCTCATAATAAGTTCTTTTTTCTTTCTTTTTTTTTTTTTTTGAAAAATTTGGAACGACTAATTGGCTATCCAACGCAATGTTAATGACCACGTCATCCATATTACCTCGTTCCTTATTTAAAAGAAAATTTGTTTCAACCAAAGTTTTAAAACCGCGAATCATCAAGGCATAATGCCGTCCCCAGAAACCAATACATTCCGCGTTTCCTTAATTTGTCTACTTTTCCAGCGTTTACATTCAATCAGACTTTCGCCCCGTCAAATGGGGTCGACCTACAAAGCTTCACGGCTACTGTCTCAAGCTACGGTCTGCGTTCGATGCCCGGCAGGTAAACAGACTTTCTCTCCTCGTCCAGACCCTGTCTGGGTCCCACCCATTTGGTTCGCGTGGTAAATTGGTCAAAGCGTGATCCGTCTAATGCCAAAGGTAAGAATGCGTGGAGTTATATGTCCATTTCCCCACACGTCTTCACGGATTACTTCTTACGCGGAGTTAAACGTGCCTTGACTCTAATGGCCTCAGCCCAAACCATGCGTCTGTTTATGCCTGCAATACGTATTTATGGATTCACTACAAACTTTAACTCAAACATTCTAGTAGTAGTAATTAACATAATTCCTCCAGTTTCCAGTTCCAGCATCCTCTGGAGACAGGTCATATACAAACATACATTTCCAAGGTTTTTCCACAACAACATGTATCAAAGATACTCTGATACGCTCACTATCATATTAGTGACGCTATATAACCCTTGCATTTGGAAAGGCGTCGTTAAATTAATAACAAAGGTCCTTAGTATGTCCTGCGCTGTGAATATACTGCACACGGACGTTTGCTGTGGAAGATATTTGAACAGAAATGAATATGCCGAGACTCACCAATTTCATCTCCGTGCCCCATCGAAGACAGGGCGTGCAGAAGTTCAGCTGACAACACGGTCGGAATGCCTTTCAGTCTCCCCATCGCGAGCACGACGTAACACGACCACTAGCAGCCTCAATCAGACATCAAATAGATTCAACCTTCTTACATAATCTCTGCTAGCAAAGACTTTACTTTCAGAAGATAACACACTAATAAGTCGGTTAGTCCGAATGTGACCTTCGCTGTTTGTGTACGCAGATATTTTTAAGGAAAGTTTCATTTTTCAGATCCCAAAGGGTTTTTTTTTAATAAAAAAAAGAGGTTTAGAGAGAGTTAAAACGCTTAGTACACAGAGTTACCTTGAACTACTCACTACAAACAGTTTTCTCATATCGTGAATTATATTATTAAGATAGTGCAGAATACTTCTTGAGAATCTAATAGTTGCCCAGATCGTCAGTAAATTATTTACCTTATTTAACGTAAACATTCTTTACAGTTTTAACATGAATCCGTCAGTAATTCCATTTTTCCTGAGCCAGATTAAATCCTATTTCTTTAAAAAAAAACAATTTTTAATATGGTATGAATATGTTGATTGGATTGAGCCGGCTACTGTTTCAGTGATGAGTTTCTATAAACGCTGAAGTGAATCTGAGGGTTTATAAAATGAGACAATTTCTGGTCCTCTGAGAAAATATCAACTCTTCAAGAAAGTCCCATCAGAACGGAGTTAATTTACGTTCTGAAATCAAAGCTTTTTTGTGTTCACACGGGGCAGCTGAAGTCACGTGTTTCCATTCTTATTAGAAAATTTCATATCAGCAATTATGATATCGATTACGGCACTGTTAGCTTTTCAGCAGTATAATGTGAAGACTCGAGAAACAAACAAGATAATGCGCTTGGTAACAGCGCGCATGCGATGTTTTATAAACCCAGTCTGATTAATCTTTTTATTTGTTGTTTACGTAAGGCTACTTACAGATTCCGATAATAAAACAAAAACGAATTGCAAACAGTTACTACACAATTTGTACACATCACAAAACAGTCTTAGTGGACAGGTACTCATATAAACTTAGGAGAGATTGGCGAGACGTATAGCACGCATTCGAGAAGCCAGTCGCCTTCTTAATCCCTTTAGTCAGAACCTAAAATCTGACCCGGACACTGGGGGGGGGGAGGTTTAAAATACAAGGAAAACTGTAAGGTCAAACGTCGTTCGTGTTGATAACGAAATTTTGAGATAAAATTGTTAATTTCAGGAAGTAGATTACAGACAAATTACGAATTGTTCGAAATCCAAATTATTGCAAAGCCATTGATGAGTTAACTTTGAATTTCAATCCAGAACTTTGTGGTTTTATGGTTGTAAAGATTTTAAACGCATACAATGTCCAAAAACTGTTTTAATTACGCGAAAAAACAGAAAAGGGGTACCGAAACTGTGTTAATAATATTGATTTCCCATTTCACTCATATAAGAATGCAATAATAGGTAATGTTTACAGCCAGTTCGACTCTCAAGTCGAAATATCCGTCCGAAGCCACAAATGCTCACCGACTTAACATCGACCTTGAGCTAGGATCAAATATTTTGTTTGCCAACACAAGTAGCACCAAAACTTGCAACTGGTTTAAATAACAATCTATATAAATCAAATTTTAAGAATCGTAGGTCCACATGCAACATTTCTCCTGCAGCCTACATATGAAAAGAGCAATTTCATTCTAATCGTCCGATTGACTTGGATCATGGGTTCGAATACCGTTCAGAGAAATTTGTCTTCGTCTTTATGTTATGTTGTACTGCTAATACATTTTAAAGTGAAAAATGTATGTGTGTGTGTGTGTGTGTGTGTGTGTGTGGTGATTGCCCTGATGAAGGAGGCAGTAAGCACCTCCGAAACGTCAGCCAATTTGTACCAGACTACATGACGCAAAATCCCAGAAGACAGCTGTCTCCTTCGTTACACAAACCAAGAACAAATGTGAAACATTTTAACCCATGAGACCCCTTCTATTAATAAATACATTAATGAAGTCGTGACGTACCACGAACCATCACAGAGTGCGTGAAATCAAAGAAGCCACAAGCTCCAATGTCCTGTCTAGATCCACGACAGTCACCAAAAGCATTTGTACCGAATACAGACGTCATGTTTGTTGTTCAAAAAGTAGAAAGAAAATCTTACGCAAAGGAGAAACAAATATTATTTCTGACGACCCCAGAGGAGGAACTAGAAATTACATAAACCTGACCATTTTAAAGACAGAAATACGGACGCTTTGTAACATCCGGATACTCTGTAGGGACAAGGTGGTATAAATACAGTCTCACGTTCCAAAATATTGTCAAGTTCGTAAGAAAAATCATGCAAAAACACTGCAGACGAAATTTCACCTTGTATTGAACGTTAGTGACATAAGATACTTTTCATAAGATAGTGTAGCTGCGTCATATTGTGACTTATTGAATTCAAAATTAAATTATTTGATTATTCCGTCAAATCAAAATGTATTTAAAATAAGATAATTAAAATAATTAAAATATCATTCTGTGTTCCAATTGTAAATCGATTATTCGATATGGAACACAGAATGATATTTTAATTATTTTAATTATCTTATTTTAAATACATTTTGATTTGACGGAATAACCGAATAATTTAATTTTAATTTAATAAGATACTTTGTTTTCAGAACTTGTTGACCTATAGTCGACCAGATTATCAAGAACCCTCCACCGCCCCCCCCCCATGCCGTAAGATTCATTACCACGTTTACAACAGCCCTCAAATCTGAGATCATGGAGTCCACACCTTCCATTTTAATATTATCCTCCTATCGCTCCAGGGCCTACCCACCCTCCTATACGCGGAAACCCGTTTTTATTCCCGGGATAAACCGGCCGGGGAACGTGGAGCTATACCTCCACTCGCCCGTACGCGGTGCTTAGTTAAATATAAGAGACTTTACCTTCGTTTGCTCAGTGTCGTGGAGTATATGACACATAACCTTACCATGCGTGTACTTTGGACGTAACCAGTAATGGTCTGAGTTGAGAACAGACCCATAAAGGACCAAGGTCTCTTTCAAAACACATATTGTTGCGTACAGCAGCTGGTACGACTACCGATCGCTGTAGCCGTCTACCCCGACAATTATCGTACACACGCACATGGCTTACGTTTCAAACCAGTTCGGTTGTAACCACGTCGACTTCGTGTTGTTGAGTTCTTAAATTCTGGTCGTAAAAGTTCGATTTTTAGTGGAATTTTGAACTTTTACGTCAGGTCAAAACTTCCCCCGATTACCACACCGAGCAATGTTTGTTGGTTTAAGTGTCTTGGATTTCAAGCAGACTCTGATGCTAAGTCATTATCACCTTATTCTGATGTTCCTTTCATCTATTTCCGGTTTATTTCGTAATACATCGGCATTTTAATGTGGGTACTAAAAACCATGACAAACCTAAGTGACTACAACCGCATTTTGGATTAAGATCTGAACCTGTGACCTCCCAAGTACGAAGAAGGAATGCTAACCATGTGACAGCGACTGATATTGACCTGTCGACGTTTCAGAGGTCCCTGCCGCCTCCATTATCAGGGCGATAATACGAACTAACAGAAGTATACAGAAAAGGTTATAATGAAGACCTTTAAAAATTTGTCATCATCACAAAATAATATTGCACTAATCGGTGATTAAATCAAGAACGATCAGTAGGGCGAAATGGAGAACGAAAAATGTATAAAAAAATTTTGGTCGGGAAATGGCGGGCTCCATGGAATACAGAAATGAAATCTTCCAGTTACATTAAAGGCGGTAAGTTTATTTATTGTCAGGCGTCACAAATAATGTCTCCTCTTTGCTGTTATTTTATTTGAAAATGTCGTCGGTTTGTTTACATCATTGTTGCTTCCAACAGCTGTCAGTTCCGTTCGTTATCAACCGTTAATTTATGTGCGCGCAACAATAAACGTCGCCATTGTAGGGATTACCAGGCAAAGTTATTCATTCGCGCTCAGTGTTTGTACGCAGAAGAGGCGAATACACGCAGTTTGGTCAATTTCTGTAACAAGTGACGCCGGATGTGGTTGTAATTTGCAGATAGAAGTATGGACCGTTTACGAGGTACGTTATTTTAATGTAATTTATTATATAATTTCCGCATTTCTCATTGGTTGACAGTGTTGCTCGTTCCCAATGTCACCGTAAGACACATCGAATCCTACTCAACGTCTCTGTTTCTAAGATGTTTAAGCAATTTATAATCTGAGTTCAAATCTCGGCCCGGAGACCGGCTATCCTCTCTAAGATTCCCCATGGTTTTCCTCATTCTCTCCAGACAGATTCCGGAATAGTACATACACTAATCAGGCTACGACCGCTTCCTTCCATATCCCTTACAATTCATTATTCGGTAATCATACTATAATTCGATGCAAAAGATGCTGTACAAGTGACTAATTAGATCAGATACACGGGTCACAACCTGGTGTTATTAACGTGCGTGAAAACATCGGTCCTCATGGGTCAATGCATGTCTTCTGGATAATGATCCTCTTCGACTGTCACAGATTAAGCCCTGAGGCAGTTTCCTTCCAGAATTAATTTTCTGCTTTAAACAGGACGACACAATACATACATGAATAGTAATTATAATAATATTAATAACAATACATTTAAAGAATACGAAAATATATCCTCTAACGCAAGGGTTCTCAACCTTTCTCAGGTGTGGGACTGCACTCACCTTGCTTACAGCTTCGAGGCCCTCAAGGTCATAAGCGAGGATAATCATTATTATTAAACCATGACAATTTATTGAAATCGATACGAAGTCATCGTAAACAGTCATTAGTGAGGATCGTGGCAGCTTTGTTTGCTTCAGTAATCCATTAGCTTCTGGTTTGATGTCTGTTGTTTCCGCTGGGGTGTCAGTAAGACGCGTCTTAGTTCTTAACTTGGCGTTCTTAAGACGAACAGTTACTAAATCTAAAACTTCTTTACGATGGTGAAGAGTCATTTGAATAAAAATTTCCTTGGATATTATCCATCGTCTAGTAAAATATAAAACGTAAAACGACGTTTCGGAGATGGGACTTTATCTCCGAAACGTCGTTTTACGTTTTATATTTTATATTTTACTAGACGATGGATAATATCCAAGGAAATTTTTATTCAAATGAACAGTTACTGTAAAATACGGACATGTTAATGTGTCAAAAGCTGGTTTAAATGCAGTTAAAAATTTCGCTCTTTGCCACAATTTAACAACAGGAACGCGTACAAAGACCCCCATCCCAGAATGAGGTACTATTAGCAGGTTCATTTGACCTAATCCGATGATGTGGTTTTGGTACAAGGGTTGAAATTTGGCTCATTTTAAGGAACACAGGCTGACTGACACAAGAGAGAGAGAGAAGGAGGAAATTGGTGGGGGGAGAAGTGATAGACACTTCGATTTCATTAGAAGGTCCCCAGGCAATGCCCGCTCGTCCTTCTGTTAAGGATAAAGTAAGAGTGAAGACGTTAATGCGATAATTGGCAGAAAAGACGGAATTTTGAAATTTTGTATAAGAGAAAGCTGAGGCTATTAATTTGGAAGTTTAGTACATAATTTAAAAGATCCTACTGAGGGGGGGTTGGGGGTAAATTTTGACGGCGTTAAGGGGTGGTAAATTTTGATTAATATAAATCGGGAGGGCTGCATGAGAAGCTTGTAGCGGCGACTTGGAGCTTCGGAACCATCTCAGCATTTGCTAGGCTGACGGTCGTCTAAATAATATTTATTAATTCAGTCCGTACCGCAAAGAAAGCACATCTCTTCACCATTACAGTGATCAAGTGGTTAACGCTGTTTAAGGAAATGGTCGCTGTTTATTCTGTGAATCATACGAGGTCGATAAAAAACAAAAGTAGACTCGCTGAATGCTGAAGCAGGTGGTCTTTAAATGTTTAATTGATTCCTGACGTAACAAGACTTGGATCCGGCGACCGCCCTGTGACTGCGAAGAACAGTAACCTGTCAGACAGGTGGAAACATACCGAACCAACCCAAAACATTCCTGTGTAAGACCACCTACATGAAACTCACGGTGCATTCCACCAGCTCAGACCTCACATGAAATCAATCACCAGATTGCGGAATTTGAAAAGTGCGTTTTTCAACTTTTTATTTAACTTTTACGTGCGATGGGGGGTGATGAGACTGTGTCTGTGTGCAACTGGGCCGCTGGCGGACACTTTGTCCAAGCCTCAGATGATAAGTGCGCGAATGTGGAGCAGCGGTGCTATGATCCTGACAGGGGAAACCCGAAGGTCACCTAGAAGGGCGTGTTCCATTGCCAATAATTACGAATTCGAGTTCAAAATAATTCTTGAACCAAGTAGAATTTCAGATTCTCACTGCGGAGATGGCTGTCTTATGGGTCGCAGAAGTTTACCGACGTTTCAGAGGTCTCATATCCCTGATAATGGAGGCAGCAAGAACCTCCGAAACGTTGGTGAACTTCTTCGCCTAAATCTTCCACCGTTACGTAATTGCAGACTACAGGAAATATCTTGTAAGAGTGATTAAACATTTTCTGGGTCTGTCCCGGATACACAGAGCTTACAATGAGACTTGTAAGTTAAGGGGAGTCACCGAGAACTGAACTTTTCAGTGTGCAATCGATTCCAATACGGAAACCTTGTATCATGAAACAGCCCGCCCATGGATTATGTCAGACGTCTTGCCTCTGACGTCCACGATTGTGATGTTTTCCTGTAGGAAACAGGGTTTGGTACTAGATTTATGTATCGAAGCATAAAACAGGTTAAACCATTTTGAAATTTCGTAAAAAAATAAAACAATATTCGAACTGCGTAAACTACTTCAGACGTTATTAAACAGCTGATCACGTATTCATTATGTGGGAACTATAGTTAACTTAATTCGCCTACAAGTACACGAAGATGAATGTCTTCTGTGTTCTTGGGTGGGCGGGAACCTACGGCTTTTTGGGCAGCTGGGATTGAACTCAGGACCTACAGGTCTATCGTGTTTTTTTGTTACATTACTGAAATGATTGAACTTACTGCATGGAGCCGAGTCCTTTTCGAGAAGCCAACAGTAGCTCGGCCACTCAATAAATTCCCATTTCATGGAACACGAAGGTTCATCACCGTGTTCACAAGAGCGCGCTACTGGTCCTTATCCCGAGGCAGATGAATCCAGTCCATATCACCCCATCCTATTTATCTAAGATGCATTTTAATATTATCCTCCGACCTACCTTCTGGTTTGCCCACCAGAAGCTTGTACACAATTGTCTTCTCTCCCATGCGGTCTACATGCCCTGCCCATCCCGTCCTCCTTGACTTGATCGGAGTAATTTGGCGAGAAGTACATCTTATGAACCTCCTCATTATGCAACTTTCTCCAGCATCCGCGGTCCAAATATTCTCCTCACCACCCCGTGATATGACTGAACTACAGAATTGCGACCAGTGCACTGTGCAGTGTCGTCATACCAGTGGCTGGGAATTTCTGCGACAGCGAAGGCTGGCGAAACACATCGCAACATTTACAAGTCGGAGAAATCATCACGGACTCGCCTGACCTCGGCCTACTTTTCGTGGCGACGGAACTGTTGTTGGACGGTCACTAATATCTAGACGTCCGGTTGTTATGTTTAGGTATCCAGTCTCAAAAAGAAAAATACCGCGGTTTTATTATTAATAACAACTACAAGAGACATGGAATCCCGCATTGTTCTTCGCTCGTCCACAATCTGTGACCTCTCTTCCTGCCTTCATCTTGCTTTTCTTGAAATTTCGCCGTGTTTTCCTTGTTAGGGCGAACATATTGGACTGGATCAATTAAAACATAATGAATCCGCGTGTAATTTATCTCAATTGTCTCAAGCACTTTATTTGACTTTACTCGAAGACGGGTGGCCACGGTGGTCTAGCGGTTATAACGCTGGCCTTGTAATCCTGGGGTCTCGGGTTCGATTCCCGGCGGTGCCCGAATTTATAACTTGTGTCGGGCAAGGCCGTGGTCTAGGCAACACGGAGTTTTCCTCCGTGGCATCCCAACAATTACTCCATTCACACACAGAAGAAGGCAATGGCAAACCACTTCTGGATCATCTGCCAAGAACGTATATGAACAGGTCCCAGTCCGAGAAAAGGATGGAAGGATCCTGTTCATATGGACCTGTCGTCACACAGAACACTAAGAATAATAATTAAAAACAAACTCGAAGACGAAGTGAATGCAGGATCTAATGGATATTTGTTTCCGTTTCTTATTTGCCCATATCAGGTGTCTTGACCTATCAACTGAGCCAGTGCAGTCTTTCTTATCGACTCGCGTACGAGTTTTGCGAAGAGTTTGAAATGTTCTTTGAGTGTCATGATGAAAATTACTATCCCATCCGCGGAAATTGTAAAATCTACCACCGCGTAGTTTTACTGACCCAACCCCATCATTTTGACTCTACGGATTTCAAAATCAACGCCTTTCACGGTGTGTAACTCAGAAAATACACGGGAATTTACGTGTTCCCCCGTTTTACGCGCTTTTAACTTACGCGGCGATTTGCAAGGAACGCAACCCCCGCGTATAACGAGATTCACCTGAAATTGTATAAATGTATGCGGGCCACGCAAAAGAGCATCGGTGGACTGCGGATTGTGAGACCCTCATACGAAGTGGATATTGAAATACGGGAAGGGGGTTAGAATCTTCTCGCGACGACTCCACAAATCTCGTCCTGAGATGCCTTCCTCTGGTAACTAACTAACAGCGTTTCCTTCCTATTGAAGACGTGGGGAACATTGCCCAACGCCCTCCTGAAGACTTCCTTCTTTTACGGTGAAATGTAACAAAGTGTGCGACATTCAGATGAAATCGTGAATGTAGAATTCCTAAGCGGTGAATCATTTTTTTACGCGGTGCTTCCACGGTTTGAAAGGAGACTGGATGTGGGGGGAGGGGGAGGGGGGGGAGTGGTCATAAATTATTCATGCGTTGAGCCAAAGCGAGATAAGTTTTCACATATACACGCTACGACTTAATCGTTCTTGGCGAGCACAAACACAGCGGCTCGTCAAGGAAAGAAAGTAGTGCGATGTATATTCTG